AAAGGGAAAGAGGACAACGGACACAGGAGAAAGAGGGATGGAAGAAGAGGAAAGACTGGACAAGACGAGGAAGGACGAAGGAGCGTGGAGCGGGAGGAGCGGGAAGGAGAAACAGAGGGACACGGAATGAAAGAGGGAGGGGAAAAAGGAAAAATGTAAGGTCGCTAATGGCCAGGCAAGAAAATAAAATGTAAATGTAAAGGTTTTTGGGAACGTTTTTACTGGAAAAAACGCCTTTCCAGCCCCGGAAGGGGAATGAAATAAAGAATTGAATTGAATTGATATGTGATCTATTTTGCTTCTCTATTACTAATTGATATTATTTACAATAAGTTCTGCATTTTTCAGCCGAATCTATCAATGGGGAAGCTTTCTTAGAACTTTCAGATTCAGATTTTAAAGAATTAAAACTCAAATTAGGACCCAGAAAAATAATAACAAAATTGCTTCATGAGATAAAACAGAAATCATTTGTAAGTTTGCATATTATGTGTAGTATAATACATAAAATCTATAACCTAAATTACTGTGTAGTATGTATAATCTATAATCTAAATTACTGCAATTGGATATTAGTATCTTATTTTTACATTCTTTTTTACCAGATAGTACTGGATAACTTTCCTATTGATAATCTACTAGAAGTATTGCACAAAGAAAATAAAATAGAAGAAATCGTAACAAGAACATCTGTTGAAAATATTGTAACATCAAGCCAACACTCATCGCAAACTATATCCAATGAAATAACCGCTTCTACTAGTTCTGCTGAAAGACTTTTCCAAAACGATCAGCTACAGGGTCATTCCCGACAACTTTCAACGCTTTCTTCCTTTATACAGTTGCCTCAATCAGAACTAAATTTGAATATATTCTCGGTAAAATTTTTACATTCTCAGAAATACATTTAAAATTGAGATTTGTATAATATCTCTGAATCTGTTTATTTTACGTTTTCTTGTTTTATTTTCAGCGCTATGGAAGTGTAGAAAAAACACTAGAGAACCACGTGCAAGGTGCCTCTATATTGAAAGCTGCACGTAAAGGCTCTTTCAATGAATCTGATAGGAGAGCCCTTGTACGTATTGTTGTAGCTGAACTTATTTTAGCACAAAACAATAATTAGTAAGATACTTCCTAACTTCTGATTCAATCCTTATCATGATAGTGCATGAAATATAATAGCAGTTTGTTTTAGTTATCCTCCGGATGAAGCCAAAGTATCACTTGCAAGTGCCATTGTTTCTGAATTTCCTTTACTAAGACATAATGTAAAAGGATTTAAAGGATATGTAAGTTCAAGAAAACGATATTCAGTGATTTTTCATGATTATTAATATTTATTATTAATATTCAATGCAATATTTTTAGGAACATTACTATGATCCCAAAACTAGACAAGGATTCATTGAATATCGTTTGTGGACAGTCCGCACAAAACTTTCTCCTAGGAAAAAGAAATATTCTGCAATGGCTTTAAAAAGAAAAGCACAATGCTTAAAGGAAAATTACAAAGTTTCAGGTAATGATATGGTGCTTCTCCAGGAATCTATTTTAGAGGAAAAGGTTCGTCAATATATCTTGGAATTTCTGTTTTTAAATAGTTCGTTCAAATATGTAACATAATTGTATTTTGAGTTGTACTTTTGCTTCCAGTTATCATGGATGAAACATAAGATGCCATCCGACAGTAATAAGGAATTGATTAAAAACTGTCTTGCGGAAACTTTCCCAAATAGGAGACAATGATTTTAAATGTTGGCCCTGTTATCTCAAGCATTTTTGAAAGATATCCACGCCTTCTAGACTATCATGGTGAAATGGTGAGTTTGAAGTCAGTTTCTTAAATTTGGGATTAGAAGTAATGGAGTATATAATTTCTTTATTTTTCAGATAGAACAAGACTTTATTGGGATTTATCCGGATTATGAAGACAACTTTCTGGCAAAAGTTCCTTCCTTTTATACTAATAAAATTATTAGTTATGCTACACAGTACAAACCAGATATTATGAAAAAAAACGAATGAATTTCCTATTAATGATGGTAAGTGTTTCAGAGTAATAAATGTTTCCATTTACTGTTAAATCTATTTATTGATCAGAGTAGTTCTAACTAAAAAGTAAAATGTTTTACAACGTGCCTGGTTTTTCTTTTTATCAGATGCTTTACGGGCTTTAATAATTCTAAGTCTTCTCTTGCCTTCATCAAATTCTGCAAAAAAGAATAATGGAGTAAAAAGCGAAGGCAGGAAAAACATGAGTAGTTCTGACATTATCTTTTATTTTACTTTGGCGTTTTTCTAAAGTAATTTACACACGCTTTTTATTTGTTATAGTTGAAAAAAATAGATAAAAATTCGAGTTCTAGCAATGTCGAAGTACCAAACCCTCATCTCATAAAAATTTTGCCGGTAGGTTTGAAGCTTTTTGTCACTATGTATATCTATGATACCTTTTTAAAAAAAGGTAAAAAAAGCACCAAGTCTAAGCTCCAATTCAACCGAATTTATTTTGTTACTCTATCTTTTTTGCAAAAGTATAATCTCTCCAAAAATATCTTTACTGCAAAAGTATCTTCTTTACAAAAATAGTGTCTCCACAAAAATCTTCTGTACAAAAATATCGTCTCTAAATAATCGTCTCTCAATAAAATCTTTAGTTTGATTTTTTAAGAAATATAACATTTTTTAATCAGACCCTAATGCTAAAGCAACTAGTTTGTATAAATATCCGTTGTTTTATTTGGCGCAATTTGTTGATATCATTACTTTTGTGG